GGCAGTTCGGTTTGGTCCGGCACTTCTGAAATTTGGGACTTCGGCACTTCCAAATGCAAGAACCTTTTAAGCTAGGCAATAAATACATTAAGACCTCAAGATGTATTTTGAAACTGTAGAGTGCAAAATGTACATATAATGCAATGATAAGTTTATAGCAAAACATAGCTACTATTAAATAACTAGCAAAGGGGACAACCTTTTGTCCAATGGAGACCATCGACTGGCTGGCTAGGCATCACGGGAAACCTAGTTCCTAACACTGCAGGTCCAAGGTTTTATATCTTTCCTAGCAGTGTGCCCTTTACAATAAAATCCTGAATCTAAAGTTCTACTATTTTTTTTAAAAATGTTATATTATTATTTAGAAGTATCCTCATTCCCCATCCTCGTGGTATATACACATTCAAATTGCAGGGCCTCTGATACATTTATGACTAATGAAACTGGATACTAAATGTAAGTGAGACAGACCATAAATCAGTGGATTCTTAGAAACACCAGTGTTTTGCGTTTGGAATGTGCTGAAAACAAATGGACCCTTGTGGAGTTTTAGTCACTGTACATACAGAGCATGATTATTAAATGTGAAAAAAGGATTCCCTCCCTTATAGCATCCTGGCTAATAGCAGTCTTTCCAAGACACTGTTGTGATGACAGTGATTTGTGAGACTCTGATATTGTCTCCACTCATGGTCCGATCCGGTGACAGGAATGTGCGCAAGGTGGCATTTTCCCTGGGACTTGACACTCTGCGGGGATGTCACGTCCCTATCTTATTCCTTTGGGGAAGGCCAAGTGGTTTTACCTCCAAATACCTTGTCACTCAGCTCTCTGGGTGTAATTTGACCCCCCTGCTCTCCTATCTTGTACCCTCTAAATGTCTGTGTGCAGATCCTCAGCTAACCTGACTTCAATGCATGCAACTTAAATCCCCTATCAGCTACCTATAAACTAGGCAGTCACATCGCTGTCACTTTGGTTTATTAATAGTTTATGTTTTATTAAGCACATTGCTGTCAGAGATGTGTTAAGTAGCCAACAGCTCTCATTACTGCTTTAAGTCTCCACTTCATAGCAGTTGGACTGAGTTCGCTCCTCTCTATAATACCTGCTTCCATCTTTATGTAATTTATTTTATGTTTTGTCTCTTCTGTAAAATCCAATTAAATATCTTTTGTAAATTTGACAAAAGGATAGGCACAGGGGACAATACAGCTGTCAAATTTATGCCAACATAACAATTCTACAAGTTCTCCAATCCAGCAATTTTTCGCCAACTTGGCTACTTTGACCTAAAGTTTGCAACGCTGTCATGGATGCATTAAAAATGAGATTCAAAAATAAAGATTCAGTTTGCACATAATAGACGTGTCTACATGTATGGTGCACAAGCACTGTAAGAAATCACATTACTAACTATGGCCATTTGTCAAGTCTGGGAGAGATTGCAGCTTATCATGATGGGTCTAGTTGTAAACGTGTAAAATTATTTATGGACCGAAAAACAATATTGGTTTGTGAGATGACTATTCATTCTGAAATGCAGACGAACCGCCCAGTGCTGCAGGCATAGACAAACGTGATAACTATTACTGTAGTGCATTTACGATTTGGGTCTCTTAATGGGCAGAAAACTCATTGGGGACTTAAAAAAAGTAGATGTAATCAATAAAAGACTTAAAGGGACACTCCAGGCACCCAGACCTCTTCTGTCCATTGGAGTGGTCTGGGTGCCAACTCCCACTTCTCTTAACCCTGCAAGTGTAGAGGGTGCTATCTGAGGAACTCCAGCGTCGCTCATTTCCCCATAGGAAAGCATTTTCAATGCATTTTCAATGCTTTCCTATGGGGAGCGCTAATGCGCATGCGCGGTCTCCCCGGCCGGTGGGCAGGATCAGTCTCGCCCACCGGCCGACGCAATGCAGAGGAGGAGTGGCGGCGGAGGAGGAAGCAGCAACGTGGGACATCGTCGCTGCCTCAGGTAAGTTACTGAAGGGGTTTTCACCCCTTCAGCAAGCCGGGATTGGGGTGTGAGAGGGAGAGGGGACCTGCAGTGTCAGGAAAACAGATTGCTTTCCTGGCTGGGGGGTGGGAGGGAGAGGGGACCTGCAGTGCCAGGAAAACAGATTGCTTTCCTGGCACTGGAGTTTCCCCTTTAACTAAATCTCCTTAAAGGGACACCATAGGCACCCAGAGCATTTCATATCATTAAAGTGTTCTGGGTTCAGAGAAACTGCAATGTTTATATTGCAGGGTTAAAGGGAATCTATAGTAATAGGGATACAAATCTGTATTCCTAACACTATAGAGCCCTTAAACCCCTCTCCCACTTGTGGCCCTGGCCAATAAAGTGTTTAAAACCCTTTGTTTACTTACCTGATCTCAAGGGACTAAGGGCAATAAGGACATTCTACCCAAGCCAGTTCAATAAGCTAAAGTGGTCTAAGTGCCTATAGTATCCCTTTAAGACTGCCTGTAGGAGCTGTCTCCTAGACAGCGCTTAGAGGCACTTCCTGTATTTGCATGGAATTTAACTCTGTGATATGACACTGGACGTCCTCACATTTCAAAATCCCCATAGGAAAGCACTGATTCAATGCTTTCCAATGGGGAAGTCCTAATATGCACTAGCCGAGCAAGCATATTCACTTCTACCCATTGCCAACGTCGGAGGAGGCAGAGACAGCGCTGTGGAAAGAGGTAAGTGTTTAAAGGGTTTTTGACCCTTTCAACACCCGGAGGTGGGGGAGGGGGGGACAATAAGTTTATAGCTGAGAAACACTTTTGTATTCCTAACGCTATAGTGTTCCTTTATAAAACAGCACATTTGGTGTGTGTGTGTGTGTGTGTATGCGTACCTGTGTGTGTTTCAAGATTCTTAATCCCATAGAAGAAGCTCATGACCCTAGTTGCTGTGTTGAATGCCTTGATTTTAAACACATTTTGCCAACTCTAACCCTTTACTGATGAAGACAAAAAACAGGCAGCTCTGGACCCACTCCTAGACCAGCCTGGGGTCTGCGTTTCAGATGTAAAACATTCCCAGGACTCGGTCAGATCCCTCAATAGCCTACCATTGTTTGAAGTTTCCTGGAAAGGCAACTGCCTCTCACAAGGGCGGATCAAGAGCAGCACATGAAAGGAAGCTGTCTCCCCTTCTATGTTATACTAATTGCCTGGTTTCACCTTTATTTGTTGTCCTTAGGACTTTATGAGGGTCCCAGCAGGAGCCCATGCACACAGTACTGTAAAACCCTTTCATTGTGTTCTTTGTGATAGCCAAGGAATTGCTGTGGGCTACTGGAAATAACAAGGTTTTTCTCAATTTGACATTGCCTGGCTTAGAGAAATATGGCCAAGTCTGTGGACAAGGAAGTACTAGCAGACAGGATCGTGGAGTTGGAATAATGTCTTAAAAACCATGAAAACTGTCTGTACTGCACTGCACTGCACAATATGTTGGTTCCTTATACATTAAAATAATATTACCTGGTATAGTTATTGAGGTTATATAAGTCATAAATCACGGCTTGTCTAATTACCGAAATATGTACACTTGGCAATGCTTAATAATGTGATTAAAACAAAAGTTCCCTAACCAGTCCTAAGTAAATATTAATGTGTTCTTCTGAGTATGTCATGTTCCAGGTTAGACTAAATAGCTCACTGGTGATATTGCAAATTATTGTCTGACAGTTTTCAATCCTATAAGTGTTACTAGTGTGGGGATTCGGTAATATTTATATGCAGATTGTAGTCATTTTTAATGTAAATCTGTCCCTATTGAAGCCACAGTCTTACCTTGAAATAAAGTCAGCACTCTTTGTATAGTGTGACAGTATAGTCTTTGTCTTCATTTCCTACTTAGTACAATCTCACACTGACTCTCACTAGCCTAGCACCTGAGCCAATAGTAAAGTGGATTTTAAATGCCCCCTGGATTTTATTGTAATTGTAGCCTATATATATATGTCTTCATGAGACCGGTCTTCACCACCTATTATGTCATGGAACACAGATGCAAAGCCAAGGTTAGACATTTTGCACTATGCAAAGCCAAAGCTGGACATTTCTTCCATGCAAGGATTCTTCCCACTCCCTTTCATAAAGCAGTGCATGTGTTTTTATTTGTAAATTATTTTTATTGAGATGTCAGCTTGTTACAAACAGAGAATTCTACCAACATTTATTTAGTATAAAGAATGCACCATATATAAAAGAAAATTCTGGGTGATAAACATAAACATCTTTTTTAAAGGCTTATAGCATAGTATTATGTGGGACAAAAATAGACAGGACAGACCATAATTCCCAACACCTCCCTTGCATAATTGAGTAAAGCAGCCCCTCGTGACAACTCTCCGCCATCTTGGATACTGGATCACATGATGCTCTGTCCGCTTGCTAGGAGATAAACAAAAACAAACCTAGTAGCAAACAGACTGAGTAAGCTAGGTACAGGGACCTCTAAGGAACAAAAACATATACCACAAAGCTGAAATCACTTAATGGCAGAAATAACTCTGTATTTAAGAACACTGCTGTAAGCAGAGAGCTAATAACTCATCTAAATAAAGGACATAAAAAAAAAAACCACAAAGGAAAAATAATTTGCAAAATAAATAAACGTAAATATAAAGTACCAGAAATGGGTAAACTGCAGTGCTGCTAGCAGAGGTAATTATAAGGGGCTTTACACAACCAGACACATCATAGAAGAACATCCAGATGAGAGCTTAAATTCCACAAATCTGGCACCTACATCAAACCAAGTGTTAGACTGTAAATATAAATACAAAATATATACAGAAATCTACAAGGTCCCTCAAACCCCTGCAAAGAGGAGGGAATAAGAAGGAGGACCTAGAGGAGAGGATAAGGAGAGGAAAATCTGGCAGGACTAAAGAGAAGGTTTAATCCAAAACCAATATCTATAAGCACATAGAAAACAGTCATACCAAGACACTAGTATGCACAAAAATATAATTCAACCCTCCCAAGAATCTGATACTTGACTGCAGACCCACGAACCCATCCGTTGCCCAATAAACACACAACACCTATATAATGGATAAGGGCAACGGCCACAGCTTTATTTAACATTTTTGACCAGCATTAATACCAACTGTCAGCTGATGGGGTGATTCATCCATCAGACAGATCTCATATCCTTTTACCAGAGTCCAAAGCAGCCTGCCTTCCGCCTTCAGCCCAAGCAGACTGCGACTCCCCAATCCGCCTTGGCACTTGCCTTCCCATGCGCTGGCCAGGTATTCCGCCACCGCGATGCTGGCCTCCTACGCCCTCCTCCAGCATCGCGCCCTCCACCGCCAGCGCCTTTTCAATCCCACTTTGCATCCCCACATTGAAGATATCCAAACCAATTACGCTTAAATGGACTCCATCGGACCGCATCAACTTGCTGTTATCCCCTTCTAACTCCACGTGCCGGACCACGAACCCCCCAAGCCGACGCACAAACCTCAACACTGTCATATTCAGCTTGTGTCTGCTACTTTCCAGCCCTTTTGCATAAGGCAACAGCTGCCAACAGGGCCTAGGGATCACCTCCGACCACACCAACGTTACATCCCGAAACAGTGCCATGCAACGAGCGATCTCATCCTTCATGCAGTGAATTAGATCCACTGTCCGGACCCTGCCCAGGTCATTCCCCCCTGCATGAATGACCAATATAACCGAACTGGGAACAAACCTGCTCAGGAAACGGCACTCTGGGTACACCTTGCTCCATGACAACCCCCGAATGCCCTCTCCATCGAACCCGCACTTGGTCATAGGAAAATCCCAGGTTGCGGCCATAAGGGCGCTCCTGCGCCCACCTCGCTGCCCAATAGGTGTAGGAATGCCCTAATATCCATACGTAGCGTGGAAGTGAACCTAGAATGAACAAACAGAAAACTGAAACGTGAAGAAACTGCTACTCACCCCAAGACTTAAACCCTATAATAGGTGTGGCCGTACATACAACTTGAACCTCCCAGAACTCCACCGACCCAACCTCTGCACCACTGCTGGTGCAAATCCCATCCCACTAGCCTGCGTGGCTGCCCCAATCCGGAAGGAATGGGCAGAGTACCCTAGCAGGCTCCTGCCGCTCGCCATCAGGGATTCACGCAAGATCTTCCCAAATTGATATCGCGTCATCGGAGATCCGTCCCGATACACCAGCAGAGAACCCCCGGCCGTAGAGCGGACCTCCAAGAATCTCCGAAACAGGTGCACCGGGCAATACTCCCCCCCGCCGCTTCAATACGTACCCACACACCGTCACCTCTTTGATCCGTCTTGGACTTGCGGATCTTTGTGTCAAGGGCCCACCCCCAGCTTCACCTAAATACCAGTCCCCTTTTGCTACATATGTATCCCATTTAATCCATCCCCCATTCCTGGGCAGCAGTCATGTCTTTCCCTTCCTTAGCCAGTCCAGGGAAACCCTGGAGCTGTGTTACATTGTGTCTCAACTCCCAAAAGTGACATGCGACTGGAGTGTCTGCATTTGCATTACGAATGGAGGTTTTGTGTTGAGAGACACGATCTTTAAAAGCAAAAATGTTTTTTTCCCACATAGCCCAAGCCGCACGGACACTTCAGGAGATAGACCACAAAGTCAGATTGACAAGTACAGAAACCTTTCAGATTAATCTGCTGCCCTGTCCGGGGATGTGTACAGAATTCACCCTTTATGATTCCGCTGCAGTGATTACAGCAGAGACAGAGGTAAGTACCAAAGACCAGTGTAGTTAAGAACCGTTGTTTGTTTAGGATTAAGCTATCAGCCTTTACTACTAAATCCCTTATGGTACGGCCTCTCTTGTAGGCAAATAGTGGTGGTTCTTTAAATAGATGCCCTACCTGTCTGTCCAATTGTAGAATGTGCCAGTTTTTGTGTATAATGTCATGTAGAAAAAGGAGAATGGGTACTTACTAAAGTTATTCTGTCAGTTTTGCGTCTGTTTGTAATGGAAAGTAAATGCTTTCATTTCATAGAGTGTGCTTCGTGTCTGGCAGCTCATAGTGTACGACAATTATAACCCTTATCCACGAATTTCTGAGACATTTTAGATAGACGAGTATCAACCAATGTCTCATCGCTCATGATACGCCTTACCCTGAGGAATTGGCTGTATGAAATGTAACGGATTTGGTTAGCAGGATGAAAACTGTGGGCATTCAACAGGCTATTTGCATCTGTTGGTTTGGAAAACAAATCAGTGTTAAGGCAATAGTCCCCTTTCTTAACCAGTACATCCAGGAAGCTGACCTCTTTTGTGTCAATATTCCAAGTAAATTTTATATCAGGGTTATAATGGTTCAAATAGCCTAAAAAGACATCCAGGTCTCCCTTGGTGCCTCTCCAGACCATGAAGCAGTCATCTATGTAGCAAAACAAGGTGCACACGTGAGTAAGGAATGTCTAGGAAGTTGTCCTCAAAGTCCATCATGAACAGGTTGGCATACGAGGGCATTTTTGCGCCCATCACAGTACCTTTGACCTGCTCATAAAAGATGGATTGATACCGAAAATATTTCTTTTTGAGTACAACCTCCATCCTCCAATAAAGTGACCACCAAATCAAGCATATCACCATACTTTCCCCTAGCCTGGAAAGGAGCTGAGACCTTTTTCCCCCATGGACTCAGCGACTAGTGGTGCTCAAGTCCTTTCCTTTTAGGGGTCTGTGTAGAACCTTAGATCAATGTTTTCTCCTTCAACTTCCTTTTCACAGTTGTGGGTGGTGTGCTGAGGTCTTCCCTCAAATGGCTCTCAGCCCAACTAGAGTTTGCTGGTAGTATATGGCAGGAATAACCTGCAGAGGCTGCCGATACCTACCCCCACATGGACTAGATTCTTCTTCCAGAAGGTTCGTATTCAGCTTCGGTTAGTCTGATCTATGGGACTTTCGGGCCCACTGTGTGTTCTAACACATCTTTCTGTCATGGTCAGCTTTATGCTTTTAAGTAATTTGAGCTACGGTAGCTCTTCTGTGTGATCGGACCAGGCAAGCTAGCCTTTGCCCCCAACTTGCGTCAATGAGCCATGGGCGCCCATTACCCTCCTTGTGCCACTGCATTCCCCACAAGACTTGCCATTTTGGAGATGCTTTGACCCAGTCTTCTAGTCATCACTATTTGGCCCTTGTCAAAATCACTGTGATCTTTTTGCATGCCTATTTTCCCATGAAATTTAACTGACTGTTCTTTTGCAGTCTAATACATCCCACCCATTGAAAGATATAATCAGTGTTATTCACTTCACCTGTCAGTGGTTTTAATCAGTTTATACACAATTATCAGGGCTATATGTCCCTTACAAGTCACGTATCCCCACGATCCTTAATTAGGCAGTACAGTCATGAAATTGGGGTCCTTTCCCACTATCCCTTTTATTTTTGAGGGCACAAAGGCCATACAAAGATTACTTCAGCAGGCACTCTGCCTTGAGTGAGGCTGGCCAGGAGGTAGGACCATCCATTTAGGGCATCTCCTGTGATGTCTGATCTATGCCCCCCTCTCTCCCAGGTCTGTCCAACCCACTCCATTCATACCTCCCAAATTTTGAAGGAATGCTTATGAAAACTAGATACTGCAGATACACATTGAAATACCCTGAAGGAGGCATTTTCTAAAAACACATTTAGTGCTGAAATCTAGAGCCAAATTTAATTTAAAAAAATTAAAGGAACACTATAGTCACTTAAATTACTTTAGCTAAATAAAGCAGTTTAGTGTATAGATCATTCCCCTGCAATTTCACTGCTCAATTCACTGTCATTTAGGAGTTAAATCACTTTGTTTCTGTTTATGCAGCCCTAGCCACACCTCCCCTGGCTATGATTGACAGAGCCTGCATGAAAAAAAAACTGGTTTCACTTTCAAACAGATGTAATTTACCTTAAATAATTGTATCTCAATCTCTAAATTGAACTTTAATCACATACAGGAGGCTCTTGCAGGGTCCAGCAAGTTATTAACATAGCAGGGGATAAGAAAATCTTAATTAAACAGAACTTGCAATAAAGAAAGCCTAAATAGGGCTCTCTTTACAGGAAGTGTTTATGGAAGGCTGTGCAAGTCACATGCAGGGAGGTGTGACAAGAGTTCATAAACAAAGGGATTTAACTCCTAAATGGCAGAGGATTGAGCAGTGAGGCTGCAGTTTCTATACACCAAAACTGCTTCATTAAGCTAAAGTTGTTCAGGTGACTACAGTGTCCCTTTAAGTTTGAATAGGATTAGTGAATTTGTGCAGTCTGGACGATTTACTGTTTGTTACTTTATCACTGCCTTTTCTATTGTTCCTGAATGTCAAAATGAGTACTATAGCCAAATATTTTTGTTTTGTTTTGTCTGCTGGTACATATCACTGCAGAATATATTGGTATTTGGTTTACAGTCAGCACCAATTGCACAAGATCACTCTTAGTGATTTAAAACCAGAGTTTGGATGTGCTGTAAGGCTCACTGATAATACTACATTCATACTGAAATTAATATATAGCTATAGCACTGAAAGCTTTTTTCAAGGAAAATCGCTTACTGCAGAAGTTTTTCAAATGAAACACGTCTCTTATCTGGCCAGGTCTTCTTTTTATTGGTAAAGTTCCCTATTTCATTCGCTTATATAAAGCTTTTTCTTTGTAATAGCACTTTCTATAGTCTACATGTATTTATTTAATGTCATACAGATGAGGGATGTGGTAGATGTACTTGTGATATAGTTCTGCATTGTTATCTAGCTTTATTTTTTAATATTTTATATACATATTCCATGTATATGACTGTATTGGCTGCATAAAAATATTACATTTATGTTTCACGTGGGATATTTCAATTGTTTGTATACTAAAATTTCCAAAATGAAACTTCAACACAGGAAAGTGTTGGCCTTATATTAATTTTGTGGTTTTATCCACACTCATATTTCTTTGCTTTAAAGGACACTGTAGGCTCTTACAGTGCACATTGCTCTTATTGTTACTATTCAAATCCATAAATGAATATATAAGTAAATCACAGTTTAGTCGATATACCCCCAATGAAATCATGTATGCATTTAATTATACTTTGTTTTTCATTGGGAGTATTTTTTGTCTGAAGCATTTGCAAACCCCCTTCTTTTAAACCAGCCCAGACTTTCTCTGGATGTCCAATCACAGATGACTCAATGGAGCACAATATT